ACTTTTAAATTAAAAATTATAATTTTGCAACCATTATGTTTGTGGATCAATGTCATGATTTCATTTTTATTTACTCTTTGTGGCAATTTACAGGCTATAAACGATCGTCATGAGAAAATTCGTGAAATGGCAAATATTCGTCGCGACAAATTGAATAAAGCTATTACTGTTTATCAGTTTTTGCGTGATATGGATGATGAAGAATCATGGATTAAGTGGGTTTTTCTTGTTTAATCTTACTTTAAGTCCAGGTTTTTATAATTGGAAGGAAAGCTGTTTACTTGTCTTACAGGGAGAAGAAATTACTTGTTTCGAGCGACGATTATGGACGTGATTTGACTGGTGTGCAGAATTTGCGCAAGAAGCATCGTCGCCTTGATAATGAACTAGTTTCACATGAATCACAAGTAGATCTTGTTCGTGGAAAAGGCTTGGAATTGATTAATCTTTCGGATAGTGCTGCTCCGGAAATAAGGAAAAGAATGGAAGCATTGGAAGAAAGCTGGAATGAAATACGAAACATTACTGGAAAGAGGTTGATTTATCAGCTTATTAAAATCATTTAAAGTTACGTATTTAAAGTGAAGGAAGCATTTCTCAATGAAAGTTGGAGTAGAAAGGCTAAATTCTAAATATTAGTTTGGCTTTTGGCGTTTTTCTTTTTGAAGCATATAATTTTAGACAGCAAAAACTTGGTGAGAGTGAGGACTTCCAAATATTTGTGGGCAAAGTGGAGGAGGAAGAGGCGTGGATGAATGAGAAGCAACAAATTCTATCATCAGATAACTTTGGTGAAAATATGGCTGGTGTGCAAGGTTTGCTGAAAAAGCATGATGCTTTTGAAGCTGATCTTGCGCTCCACACGCAGCGCATTGATCATTTGATCGTTGAAGGGCAAAAAGTATTTGTTTTCTTCACTATTGAATCTTGGAAATTAACTAGCTATTAAAGTATAATTTGGTCAAGCATAAAACATCTCTTTGTAATTAAATGTTATAATTTACTGAACAAGAAGTAACGTGAAATGAGTCCAAGTGATAAATTATATACGACGACTTTGCTCAAGTAATAGTTAGACTTTATAATGACTTTTAAGGTACTTGTAAAAGTACGGAGTGGCCCATTTGCAAATTTTTGGTTTTGGGTATTCCAGGAAACTTACAGTCTTGGGTATTTTTAAAAATCACATATTCTTGAAATTGACAATTACTACTATAATTTTCCAGCTAATTGATGACGGCAATCATCACAGTCCAAGTATCAAAGCACGTTGTGATCAATTAAACACACGTCTTGATGAAATCGTTGAGTTAGCTCGACGTCGTCTACAACGTCTTCAAGATAACAGCGCTTATCTGCAATTTATGTGGAAATGCGATGTCGTGGAAAGCTGGATCGGTAGATACTTTTTTCTTTTTCTGGTTATTTTTTGCACAGGTTTGAAAATCATTTCAAACCTGTGCATACATCAGTATGCAGTTTTTGTTCTAAATTTAGTTGGAAGAAAAAAGGAAAAATTTTTTCAGCGGAGAAAGAGCAGCAAGTACGATCTGATGATTTTGGACGTGATTTGTCGTCGGTACAAATTCTTTTAACTAAGCAAGAAGCATTCGATGCAGGTTTAAATGCTTTTGAGCACGAAGGTATCCAGCGTATTACGGAGCTGAAAGACCAACTCGTAAATGCTCATCATGCTCAAACACCGAATATCGAGAAGCGGCACGGAAATGTTATTGGACGATGGCAGCAGCTTCTTGCAAATTCAGAAGCAAGACGCCAAAAGCTATTGAAGATGCAAGATCAGTACAAACAAATTGAAGAATTATACCTTACTTTTGCAAAAAAGGTTAATACTTTTTAGAGCAGTATTTTCTGAATTATGAAGCCGAACTTTTGCCTGTATTGTTGAACAATTTTCAAGCACAAGCTGTTAGACTATTGTTCACTAATATATTAGTTCTACATTATCTGTCTGGGTGTTGTTTAATGGTATACGATTTTTGAAAGATTAAATTCTTCAATATTATTCGTTCTACTGTCAACAAGCAAAAAATTTATAAGAGTTATTTAAGAGTGAATTTCTATAATTAAAGTGATGTTTTCAGGCTTCCGCGTTCAATTCATGGTTCGAAAATGCGGAAGAGGATTTGACAGATCCAGTACGTTGTAATTCACTAGAAGAAATTAGTGCTTTACGTGAAGCTCATGCTGAGTTTCATAAATCATTGTCAACGGCTGAGGAAGATTTCAGACAATTGCAATTACTTGACAAACAAATTACATCATTCAATGTAGGACCAAATCCTTATACATGGTTCACAATGGATGCGTTGGAAGAAACATGGCGCAATTTACAAAAAATCATTAAGGTTAACAGATTCTTACACTTATATTTAGAACGTCTAAAAGTTATGTCAGTTTATTTAATTCGTGTTTATAAACTATTCAAGATGGCAAACACAAAAATTTATTAAATATTGAAGAAAATTTCGTAAATTTTACTTTTCTATTGTTTATGCAATTCAGGAACGTGAAATGGAACTACAGAAAGAGCATCGTCGGCAGGAAGACAACGACAAATTACGCCGTGATTTCGCTCGTCAAGCGAATGCGTTCCATCACTGGCTTACCGAAACTCGTGCAGCAATGATGGAAACCAGTGGTACACTTGAAGAGCAACTCGAGCTTTTGAAAAAGAAAGCAAGTATTTTTTGTGAAAGCTTTTTAAGCCTTTTTATCTTAATTTGGTAATAATTTTCTTGATTTCATCCACCTATCTTTGAGATCTTTTCTTACATGAGGGACTGCCATTATGTTATTTTATCTCTTCTTTTATGCTCATCTTTCGCTTTCCTTAACTACTTCTCTTGCGAGTGGTTGATTTTGTGAAAGGAGCTTACATTCAGATTTCTTCACTTATTTTAATTTGTTTGTTACAGGCGGTAGATGTGAAAAACAATCGTATTCAATTAAAGAAAATAGAAGATTTAGGCGCTCTTTTAGAGGAATATCTCATTCTGGATAATCGCTACACGGAACATAGGTTTGCGTTTCTTTAATCTATATTTATCAACCCATCTTTACATTTCTCGTTATCGCAAATTTTGCGCTTAGTCTTTTAATAGCCAAAATATATTGCTCTATTTAAATAAGTGGATAACTGTATGAACGAATTTATAGCACCGTTGGATTAGCTCAAGCTTGGGATCAACTCGATCAACTTGCAATGAGAATGCAACACAATCTCGAGCAACAAATTCAAGCACGCAACCAATCGGGTGTAACTGAGGAAGCTCTTCGAGAATTCTCCATGATGTTCAAACATTTCGATAAGGTTTATACATTTCAAATGATAAAGGAGTCCTAATCATGGAAATTTTCTTGAGTGTCATGAGAAAAAATTTTCTGTACTTATCATTTTATATGAGGTTTTTCCTGAAGTTATTCTTTGACATCAATAAATGTTCAGGAGAAATGCGGACGTCTTGATCATCAGCAGTTCAAGAGTTGTTTGCGGGCACTTGGTTACGATTTGCCAATGGTTGATGAAGGACAACCAGAACCAGAGTTCCAGCGAATTTTGGACATTGTAGATCCGAATCGAGATGGATATGTTACGCTACAAGAATACATGGCATTCATGATCTCAAAAGAAACTGAAAACATTCAGTCAAGTGAAGAAATTGAAAGTGCATTCCGAGCTCTGTCGAAAGAATTCCGGCCATATGTTACGGCTGAAGAACTGTATGCGGTGAGTTCAATTTTTCTGAATTACAAAGTGTTGAAACTGTTCCTATTGAGATTTCTTAGATTTTTAGTGATATCATATCATTATAGGGAAAAATAACTTTTTTCTTGGAATTTATTTTTCTCTTAATCCTATTTGGACGCCTTTATTAGAGTATGATAAAAAATATTTCGGGAAGTTTCGAATAAATTCAGTTGCGTGTAAGTCTGCTCAAGTTACTTTCACGACGGTGCCGTATTCAGTTTTGAATATAGTGTCTGGCGATATTAAAGAATAAGAAAGCGAAGTGATAGGAGATTTATCGCTTATACAAAGATATATAAGTGTTGTTGTTAAACTGCTGAAAATTTTTGCAGAATCTCACCCCCGAACAAGCAGAGTACTGCATTAAACGTATGAAGCCGTATACTGATGCCATTTCGGGTCGATCGATGCCGGGAGCTTTGGACTATGAACAGTTCGTGCATACTCTCTTCCAGAGTTAACTACATTCTTAATTTCAAACTTATGTTCATTTATGTAATGTCCTAGACTGCATTAATCCAAACATGTATCTCTCCTGGGGCTTCTGGTGAAGAGTTTTTGGGAGAACTATTTATTTACATGTTTACCATACCCAATAGTTAACATTCAAAAACTACTTCTAAATCGCATTTTTAAGCTCATTTTTATTCTCATTTTTTTCTTTTTTTTTTTAATATTTCGATGCCATTCGAAATTTAGCTCTCCAAAAATATTTAATCTGTTATGTTATTGGTGATGTATGAGACTTGAAAAGAAGGATGATATCTCTGGTTTTTTGTAAATACATTTTAAGAGTGTGTGCCAAATATCCAACTTCAGAATGATTTAAAAATGAAATTTCGAGTTTGGATTTGCCGAATTGCGGGGATTTCATTGTTAAGATGCTTCTTTTAATCAAGGCTAGGCGGAAATGTGCATCGAAGGAGGAAAGTAGCATTGAAATCATGAGATTGAAGGCTAGTTGAGTATGCTTATTAAGCAGAGGAAGTTAAAATTAGGCAAATCAAAGCTAGTTGTTAACAACACTAGGTTTTGGAATTTTGATTTTATTGGAATAAAAATTTTCAACGGCAAGAGTACTCAGTGCCGATGGTTTACATAGGGGATAAATGCGCTGAACAATGGTAAGGGCGATGAGGCTACAAGTAGAAACTGAAGAAATATGGAAGAAGCCACTTGGATCATGAAAACCATTTCTAGTTCGAGTCTAAAAGTTTCATTTGCTTTTTTACAAGAAATCATCTCTGGCCTCTTTTGGCATTGTATCCGTTAGTACGGCATCAAAGAGACGTTCCGGTTCCATCAACAATATTCGATGCAGTCGCTGTCGAGCCAAGATACTTCCGGTACAGGTAATTAGCAACTGCTCGTATCTCGTCGCACGACTCATTATTTCATATACACCAGACCATTTCTGTAACAAAAGTGTCGATCAGAGATTTAAGAAGTTATTACGTCATTTATATCTGATGTGATGATCATTGCCAGATATTTTGCATTTCTTAATAGCATCTTATGTGCAAACAAAGCTTTTTTCGATACTTGGAATAATTTTCAAAGCATCATCAGTAAGGAAAATCTCGAATACATGAAGTATGCATTAGAAACGTTTCAAATGTAAGATCGCTGTCAGTAAGTCAGGTTATTTTTCCTCAAATATGTGTAATCGATGCGACTATTGCTTCTTTACTAAAGAAGTAACAATATGTACCTTAAGTGCAGCATTGATTCGTTGCAAACTAAGGTCTTTATGACTGCAAAGTTGACCGGATACAATTATTGGAGTATCTGATTCACCAAAATCCCACTCGTGTCTCGCAACATCATCACCATGTTCCATAATTCGAAGAGCATCAAAGTTGGCTGTTATGGCGATGTGATGAAACGCACGAAATGCCACCTTGTTCAAGAAAAATAAGATTTGAAATATAACAAATTTTGGAAATAAAAATTTCCAACCGTTTTATAACTTCACACTTCAGTTTCATAACAAGCATGTGGTTATGCATTTTGAATCTTTCAATACAGCATTTAATATGTTGTGACAGGTTGGCACTAGAGAAAACTTCCATTGCAAAGAAATGCTGCAGCTTGCCCTCATGTTCCGGACAATTCATAAGGTAGTTTTTCATAGATTTAAAATGAAAATTCATTGATTAAACTTGATTTTAAAAACAAAAAATTTACAGCATGTAGGGCAGACCATTGTTCTGATCTCGTGAAGACTGAAGCACCCTTCTTTCCTTTCATCATGCCACCCAATCGAAAACGTATAAAATTCGCGCAAGCAAATTGTCTGCTTGCCAAATAACGCAAAAATGCGAAAAGTATTTCACCAGTACTACATGCTAAGTCAACAGTTCCTGGATTATCTCGTAAATCATCCAACTGCAATAACTGAGGTTCAAGTTCTGAAGCAATACGGTTTAAGCGTTTTCGTATGTTGTGTTAGAATGACAATTTGCATATTATTTCATTTTTATTATGAAGTATCTGAAACTAATCAATACATTGAGAAAGACCTAAGCAATATAAGGATTCTGTAAAGGGATAATATTTTTTGAAGGAAATTAAGCCTAAAATAGGATTTTCGAATTCAAAACTTTAACTCCAAATTGGAAAATTTGGATTATTACGGCGATTTCTTGCCTTACATATTTTTACCTTTTCAAAATAAATAGGATGCCTATTCATCAGCTCATTAGATGTGTGTTTACCATGTAATATTCCAACAGCAAATTGTAAAAACAAAACGACAGTATGTATTCTTCTCAGTGCAGAACGTTCATATATTCCTTCTACTCTTAGCCAATTATCAATAACAAAACAAAGCATTTCAACATTTGATCCGTACCTGTAATTTTTTGTCTAAAGAATCACCTGAAAAATCAAATTTTGGAAGATTAAAATTAAATCACTTGAAAAGATCAGTATAATATGATGCTTTCACGAGAAATATCAAGTACTACATGTAGTATATTAGCACAAATTATGCTAAATGCATCTTACTGATTCATTCGCGATTTTACATCAACTGAATTAATTACTGTATGAGAAAGTTCATGAATCTATCACCTCTGAGAATATCGTACAAATGCTTCAAGTCGCATCGGTCCTAATGACATTTCATTAATAAATTGTTTTAATGAAGCATGATGGTAGTAGCAGAAAGTTTCAATTGCTCGTGTAAGATGGACCGCTAAAGGATTTGTTGACAACGCTGGTGATTTCAACGTAAGTGCCTGAAATTCAGTTCACTTTGACAACAACTGATTTATGACTGGAAAGTATTTTACAGCGGTAAAGTTAAATTTGGCAACAATCATTTCGCAGGAATGAGTACCGTTCATTCATTTGATGGGAATGATAATATGTAACCACTTACAATTTGACGTTTGATAATCAGCAAAATATCCCAGACGATCCACGGGAAAGATCGAAATTCAGAAGATGACCTGAAAGCGCTAGTATATGTAACCGTATACCAAGCTTTAGCTTTCCTGATTAGTGCTACATTCCAGCGCATCTCACGTTTTCCGAACGCATCTACTGTTTGAAAATCTGACTCTCCTCCGAATTCCTACAAACAAAAAATTACACACTTTAGTCATCAAACTTCATATGGATTTTTCAATTATTTTGGTGAAAATTTCTTTACGATCAAATAAATTTGTCGTGAGCAAAGCAAACCTTGAAAAATTCATGCCTAAAATATGAGAAAATGCGACTATATCGTAATTCTACAATTTTATCCGAATTATAGAACGAATAATCATCTTTCTCCATTTCAATAATCCTTTTGATTGTCATACTATGTCCTGATATTACAGAAGCTTCATCAGAAATCCCATATTCATCCATTAATTGCTAAAAAATTTATCGCAAAAAAATATGGGTTTTAATTTTAATCGTTTAATTTATCTGTGGAATAAACTGTCATGAAGTAGTGTTTCGTGAGGTCTTTAATGACGCTTATGACACTGTCAACAACTAGCCTTAACATAGTTTGACCATACCAAAAATATTAGGAGCAAAGCGTAAATAAAACAAACACAGACCTGTATTCTAGAGTGGTACTCATCCCTCAAACGTAAGCTTTCTTGAATGAGTTCCGATTGTTCATGGAATAAGCTTTCGTCACAAAGTTGTGGATCACAGTAATCGGCAAATTTTGTCCCTTGTACAATTTCCGAAATATCTTCAACCCTTCGTGCTTTCCTGAAACATTAATCTTTTCATATCCGACAATTAAAAGCTCATGTGCAGTTTATACTATAAGATATTCAATTTTTTGATTATTCTTAAACTCTATTTCATTTGTTAAAATGAAAAACATACAATACTCTATGATAAACATATTTTATTACCTGTACAATTCACCAAGCAACCGCTTGCTTCTGTATGATGGCTTTATCATGTTTTGCATATAATCCGGCATAACTTCACATTGCTCATGTGATAGCAACGGTTTGGCTGCTACACCTGTTTTCGGAAAATCTACAGCAACGGCACATTTCCGGGCAATGTCATCACATACTTCGCTGAAAGGAAATTGCATTTTAAATGGAATATATTTTTTGAATACATAGTTAAATTTCGTAGAATTCATATCAACATTGAACAATATTGACCAACTCGATAACAGCCATCAAATAACATGTAAGCATAGTTCATGCGTCACAAACAATTAAATGCTTAGAAAGGATAACTTGCTGGAAAAGGCCAAGTCGATCACACATGATCAAATGAGCATTGGACATTCGACCAATTGAATCTTGGCTGAGATATTTCAGAAAAAAATCTATCATATCTCCCGTCTATAAATATATTCTTTGGCACAATATTCAATTCCAATAAATTTCGAATAAGTCCAGCGAATTAAATTTAGAAAGATAGAACAGGAAATTTTCGGAATTTAATCACTAGAATCATTCAATTATTTCTTCATCCAATGGCATAACTATAGTACGATACAGTAGCACTGATACATCTCGAACAATGCTTTAAATTTTCAAAATATTATCTTCTGACGCTTTGCTAAGCAAATACGGATGTAATTTTAATTTCAGGTTTTCTTGAGAATAAGAATAACATACAGTGGCTGGTGTACCGTATTCAGTTGGCAAAGAATTTGGAAAAAACATTGCCCTTTCATTATTCTCAAAAAACAACTCTTTATCAAATATCACGGTATATTCATCACCGTCCAAATCACTTCCTGAAAATTGAAAATCTTTATCAAGTTATACAGTTACAAATTCAAAGTACCATTTAATAGATTTCGTAAGATATTTAAGTGATGTTAATTAGATTTGTAAAATATTTAAGCAAAAAATGAAAACTATAAAAGTAAAGAAAGTTATAATAAATGGAAGCAACAAAAAAAAAAAAAAAAATTTAAACGCAAATTAACTAATAAGAGTTGAAAATGTATCAGATTTTAATCTAACCAGCCATTTCATCAGAATGTGGACGAGGACCATAACGAGGAAATACAATAACATCACAAAGATGCAACAAAGCATCCTGATAAACTGCTTCGAACATGCGAACATCACCCGCTACGTGGCATGGATTCTTTGTTACCATTACTGATCCTGAGGAAATCAAATTCCTCAAACAAATCTAGTTTATTTCTAATTTTTAAAGATTTTGGTCAAGTAGTAACTTTAAGACAATAACAAGTTGATGATGAAAAGCACAGCTTTTTTACAATATTCTATGAGCAGTATACATACAATTTAACATAGCTCATTACCACATTCAAGACGTCCTCATTATCAGAGTTGCTAAAGGATGAAAACTGATATGTTTGATTATGAAGAAACAATCAAACCATAAGAAAAAGATAAAATCAAACTTCAAAAATATGAAGTTTAAAATTAAAAAAATAAGTGGGAAACTTCATATTACCTGTATAAACGATTTTCTTTGCCGAGACATATTGCATAGACGACGAGTATTGTACGAAAACTTGCCCATACTGGAGTAATCCAGTATCATCAATCACTCCGTACATTGTACGACCCATTGAACAGGGTAAAAAAATTTTGGATTTGCTTAGATGTAATTCTGAAGATAATACCGGTAGCAATATTTGAATTCAATTACTGTAAGCAACTTACAATAAATAAAAAAGGAATAGCATATTTCTTTCCATTGAAATACATTTAAGGTAAAATTATTAAAATTTAACTGCAGATTTTCAAATGCTTTTATCTGTGTTTTTTTTTTTTTTTTTTTTTTTTGCTTTTTTCTGGAAAGTTGAGCGATCCGTTTTAATTAAAAGATGAAAAATTTCCAGAAGAATTAGAAATAATACCATTAACTAAAACTTCATATAAAATCAAAAACCAACTTATATTGTATCTATGTATGGCAGTCAGTAACGAACGGAAAAACGGTTCGTTAGTAAATGTAATACCGTTGCTATGCAATTGATGAAAGTCAATTGGAAGTGACAAACGTGAACTAAGCTCCTCGGTAGCGACATTTTCATCGAACATCATGGCTCAAAATTATGTTTACACAAGATTCAATTCAGATTCAACAGTTCATACCAATCAGAAAAATCAATCATTCCCATATGTTAATAAGATATTGCAACATATCATACTCATATAAAAAATTATTTTCATCAGTTTGTACACATTCAAATTTTTCTCAATAGAATGGTACTTTTCCGAAAATGAATGAAAATTTTGAAATATGTGGCTCTTGCATACACTCTTTTATTATCATCCGTGCAACACGACAAGTTCAGATTAGTAAGATGATTTAAAATAAGCAAAGTAGCTGACCGGCTAATTTATCAAGCTCCAGCTCTAAAAGTGAATGAATTCGATTACAAACTTTTTTATGTAAGTGTCGGCCTTGCTTATCAGAAACCTATAAATTTGAAGCATTTAAGTTGTGTTTCAACAACTTGTTTACTTCATTCATTTCAAAATATATTTAAGTTATGCACTCTGTTTGAAAAATAATGTTGTTAAAAAAAGTGATCCACGGATATAGTTAAAATGATTAATAGTTGATTAATATTTGATTAAATCATGCTTCTATCCTCAAAGCACATAATTTTGTAGAAAAAAAAAAAAAAAGAAATCACTTGATCCAAAATCATGATCAATGGTCGATTCAAGCGAACTGGTGAAGGCATTGAATATTTCACTACTTCTACTTCAGCTGCACTTTCGTCATCTTCTTCAAATTTTTTTTGACTTTTCCGGAAAACAATATTAACTTGATCTAATTCATCCAACAACGGGTCAATGCACAACACACCTTTAAAACCCTTAAATCGCACCTAAAATTTGAAATTGTTTGAAAATAATCAATGTACAGTTGAAAAAAATTTGAGTGAAATCTAATCTAAATGTTTCATTTTCCCCAAAGCTAAATTTGATAAAAATTAGCGATATGGAGGACAATATATATATAAGGTAATTGCTTACTTGATAACAGGATGGTGTCGGATATAAGCCTAGTGTTTTAGCAATTCGATCAGCGTATTTTTTAGAAATTCTCCCAACACCATCTGAGAAATTAAAAACTTCACCAGTTTCTGGATGTACGATTCCACCCATAATATCATCTTCCACCTTCCAATCATCCTTTTTCAGCTTTATTGTTGGCTGAAAAAAAAAAAAAGAAAATAGCAGTTGGAAATTCAAAAAAGAAAGTGCAGGCGAAGACTAAAAAGGTGAAATTATTGAAATGCACATGTAATTAATAAGATTAATGTAAACATCATAAAAGTTAACACAATGATGTACTGCAAGACAGGATATGCAGAAAAACTTAAGGTTCAAATAAACAATAAGGTTTAGAATTCGATGAGTCAAGAAACATACCAATTATTTCAGCTGTTGATATTGAGATCAACAAAATATTATGTGAACTGAGTTTTATTTTGAACTGAATAAAACAATAAAAATTCTGTCTCTGAATGAATGGTCGATTAATACATAAAAATTAAAGTGTAAAAAAAAGGTGAGCGAAAAGCTGCAATTAACAATTAATGAGGAATTGCGCGAGAAGTGAAAATTAAAAAAAAAGATTAAAAAGTTTAAAGAAAAGTAAGAGACAAACAACAAGTAAGAGAGAAAAATAGAGAAAAGATTTAAAAAAAGCAAAGGATGAAGAATTAAGGATGGAATTAAAAGATGACAACAAAAATAGTAAAAAATGAATATTTGAAACGATATTATTGCTTATAAATTATTTACTTGTGCTTGCGTAAAACATTGTCCCATGCGAGACATCAATTTTGGGACAGTTTTCGAAGCTGTAAAATCACCCATCCAACGTCTGATATCTTCAACGTTACAAACCACTTCACCATGCACTTCATCATTAACAATGGCATCCGAATACATATAGCAACCGCCATCACGCATCTTAAATTAACGTATTTAATGTAAAATTTCTATTAAACCGAAATATACAGATGAAATTGAAAAACCAGAAAGCACTTTTTCTCCCATTTCGCTTGTTTCGTTCAATTTAGCAAAACCTTAGCAATCATTAAGTTGAAACTAGTTTATCATTCATTGTTCGAAGTTTGAAATATTTATCATCGTTGTTTTAGCCGCTGATACCGACAATTAAACATTAATAATCTTTTTCTGAATAATCATTTCATGCACCTGTGAATTAGACCAGGCAAGGAATTGGTAATGCCGTGACGCTATACGTAATCCTGTTCCAAGAATTCTGTATACCAAATCCGGAATTATTAGTGACTGATCTGAAATCAGTTAACATTGAATTAATTAATGGATGAAAGATATGTTGTATTTCTATGTAATAAAAATTCATACTGTTTGTAATAATTCTGAACAAATCCGTAATATTCATAAGAATCATACAAAAGTTTCACTTTGAATTGTAAAAAAAAAATCAGTTCAAAATATCTAATAGATGCAAATGTTTACAGATGCAAACTTATAGCTATCTGATAATTTGAATATAGTTTAACTGCACAAGTAAAATACTCATGTGTATGCTTTCTAAACCGTAATCGAGAAAAAATACAACACATCTTTATTATTTATCATCTAAAAATATTATTTTTCATATTTTTCATAGCCTACTAAATGTTTTAATTCATTTAATTTTAAATGTTATATCAATAACAAAAAGTATTTGAAAAAATTAGACCTTGTAGAGAGCGCCCGCGTGTAAATTCCTTTGGTACAAGTCTCTGGCCATTATCATCTCTAAATACACAACGCAATGCGTACTCTTCTCCAAAATGACGTATTACACGATTTGTCATCATAACCTCTGGCGGCAAAAGCAAAAGTCGTAGCGGAGTTGCTATAACCTGGACAGGAATATTTAAAAAATTATACAAGAAATCAATTTTTTATTAGAATCCATCACTAACCGATGAGATTATCACTTTTTTTTTAATTAAAAACAATTACTTTCCGAATTAGGACACAATTTTGAGGTAGGTCCGACAGTGATGCAGCCTCATCATCATCTGATATCCTCCGCAAAGCATTTAATTTTCGAAAATAATTATATTCAAAAAAATTAAGCAATGAGATGCGTCGTCTTTCATCTACAGCTGCCAATGCAGAATCCAATGTCACCTCACAAGCTAATAAGCATTCCTGAAAAAATATATAATCAAAAATTTTTTCCTCCATTTCAAAATTCCATCATTTTAAAAGTATTACTGATACATTGCCCTTCATATACTTATATAAATACTATTACTTGCAATAGTAATTCTTTAGAATTCTGATTACATTTTCTTTTGCAGAAGGTACAGAATAACATTTCCTGGTATCTTAAATCAAATTTAAGGAAATTTAACTTAAATTAAATTTAAGAAGAAATGCAGTAAATTATATTACTTTAATAAGTAAATAAAAAAATAAGTAGAAAATTTAGCGAAGTTCAATGATTAGCTTTACAATTGCAATAAGCTAAGCAAAATAAATCGTCATAACTTTCTATTAAAACTGAACCAAATTAATTTTAAAAAAATTTTTCATACCTTAGCGGCGTAATTAATTCGTTCGAAAAAGAGATTATTCAAGGAGGGCTGCGAAACGTCAAAAAGTTGATCTTTTACAACGCTTCCTCTACTTAGTAATGCTTGCAATGCATAATTCAATCTACAATTGTCATACAACGATATTGAAAAGTAATCGTGGAAATTGCAATCGTTTTGAAATTAATGTCTTTTTTTTTCCTATAAGTAGTGATTTAATTGATTATATTGTTTTCTATTGCATGTTTCGGCTTTCATGAAATATTGCTAACTTATCTCAATTCGAACTTATCTAAATTTGAGGTTTAATATAGAAAAAAAAAAAAAAAAAAAAGACCGTTTCTCAACTAGGCAGCATTACCTAAATGACGGCAATTCTAGAATAGGAATATCAGAAATATCTCGTCGTGGAATTTTCATGACTGCTGCAAAAAATATTCGACACTTTGCCCGACATTTCCATCGTGCAATGATATCAAAGAGTTGACGTGTTGGAGCCTTTAATAAACAAATATTATTTGTAATTTTGATGCTTTAAACGCTGAAAACAAAAATTTTAGATGGAAAATCCGAGGAATTTATGATCATTTTATTTACTGATAAAAAATGTTAAGCCACTTTTCATTTTGCACTATATTCAATCATAAAAATGATAAAGATAAAGCCGCAAAAAGACAGTAATTATCGTTAAATAAAAAAAAAGTGTTACATTTTCTGGATACAGAAATATCAAGAATCAACGTAAACTAAGCAACGCTCAGGTATTTTTTTTGTTCTTGTTTAAGTCACAACGAGGCGAGAAGTAAGATTTAATTGCTCATTTCGAGCATTTGTTACCAAAATATTACCAATTTTACATTTAATGGGCGTCTTTGCCATTCAAGTACTTCATCTGGGAACATTCTTTCCGGCTTCACTGCTTCTTTTGATATCGAAAAGCTGAACCATGATGATCCAGCCAAGGTCTCCTATATCAAAAATTACAAAAATTTAATTTGTCCATACAATTTACCTGTTTATAAAATGAAATTCTAATTTAAAATTAACAAGAGAGAAATCTAGATCGCTTTTGCGAGATATTCTTATAAGCATATTTATTTATTTAAAAATACCTGAGAACAACCGGCGAAATGTTTGCTTCCTGGAAAACTTCCCACACGTATCCAATCGCGACATTGCTCAATATTCAAGACTCTCTTTCCATTTGTCATAATTCGGGGTAACGCTTCCCACAACTGCACTTTGATTATCGGAAGTATAACTTGTTATAGAGTGCATCAATTTCAAAATATCAAACATTGATGACACTGTCACACTCCAGGTATAGCTATTCCAAGTTTATATTATTTTATAGGAATCCAGCCATTGTTTATACCACAAGTAAACAATTTATTCTTACATGAACTAAGCTGCTCTTCATTTCCATTCTTAAAACAGGTTATAAATGAACAAATGAACATAAAAAATCTTATAGCTTAAAGAAAGTAAGGTATTAACCTGAGGAGGGTGTCGTAAATAAATATAAATGTAATTGTCTCTTTCATCTGGATCCGAATCACAATCGACAATAACCATATGGAATGAATTATATGTTATAACAAACTTATAACCTATATATGACAACCCGTCATGATCCTGGGTAACTTTTTCGATAGCAAAATAAATGGTTAGTAATCGTCGGTCATGTTCAAAATGTGCCCAAGACAATAGTGTGTGGTTACCTAAAATTCTAATTTATTGCGTAGAATTTATAATAATGCATAATTACTTATCAAAGTTCCAAAGATAGGGAAAAATTACTAGCCGCTCTAAATTATCTAAAACAGCTAAAATACTTTAATTCACATCAACCTGAAAACAAAGATCATTAGGATTTCTCAAAATACTGGAAAAATCACTCACTAAAAAATTTCAGCATTAATTTATTTTCTGTTCTATTTTCATCTTTATTTTTTGAAAAATTCAAACCAAACATTTTGAAACAGTAACACTTTTGCATTGTTCTGACCAAACATTTTGTTTGGTCAGAAATTTTTTGGGGTTACTCAAATTTTGCTTATAAGTCATATTTCAAGTACGTAGGAATTAGATCAGAAACTGCAAAAACTACTTTCTTATTAATCCAGGCAAATCCTCACACAGTTAGTAAAGCAAAAAAAGGTTAGTCTATTTGCTAATTAATCAAATTTATTCTAGACCATCCTTAAATATCATGCAGCAATAACTTAAAAAGTTAATTCTAATGAATGTTCAAATTATCATTACACTACAAAATAGAAACTCACCAGCAGCATTATTTATTTTTGTTTCACATACTGAGTTGACGATCAATTTATTACTGCTTGCATTATACTTTGTCACATACTCTCCACGGATGAAAAATAAACCCATATTTGGCATATTACCAATTCCTATCCAGAGTATGTCGACATTCGTATGATCAGGCCTGTGAATTCTGATTCTTAGTGAATTTTTGAGCAAAAATCTAGAAAGTCAACGATTTACATGAATTCTTTTGTATGCTTAAAAAATAGAAAACAAAAATATTTGAACGTTTCTCAAAAGTTCAATAAGTAAAAAGAGAATAATGGAAAATGAATGTTTATCCTAACAGTACTAAGAAAAGCCATCAAAATCCAAAACAGTTCTTTTATTTCAAAGCTTTCAATTAATTTTTCTTGTTGCGTTTGGTATTATTGATCTTCCTTCTCTGTTTCTATCAAAGCATAAAAAGAAGAGATCGACAAAACAAAAGAACTAAGTCCGAAGATCCTGCAACCTTATAAATTCAACACTGTTACTCATACCTGACTACATCCCACAAGAAACGATTGAATCTTCATTGATACCTTAAGAACTGGTGTTGATTTGAAAATGATAACTGTAAATAACCAACCTTATGTCAGTTAATATTCGATCGATATTCTGTATTTCCATATAAGGTTGCATTTCAAGGCCATATCTGAAACATGATATCTGCACCTCAAAATTACATCAGCATTTGAAATTTGTATGAAAAATTTATGAACAGAAAATACAAACACTATGTTTCAAGAAGGAAAAGTTTGAGAAATTTACCCAGATTCTACAGTGAATGATTTTGTGAATTCAATCAGTGCATCTTGATTTGAGCTCTTATCACAAGGCAGTTCAATCCCAACATGAACTTCGACACATTTTTCTTCATAAGCTGCTTGAATGCATGGTATTAACTCGTCAAAAAATCGAATTGAACAGTTACACTGTAAAATGAAAAATCAAAATTTTGAAATAGTTTTACTTAAAAGGTATTTTTGTTGTTAAAATTTTTATCTTCGACGACTTAAAGATTTTTCGAACTAAGTAAAAAAGAAAACTAACAGTTCCATGCAATGTGTTATAGTTTTGCATATTTTATTTCTTAATGTATGATGTCAGTTTATTCCTTCTACTATCATCCAAACATGCAACAATAATTATTTGCATACTAAAGTAAACGAAAATTTCAAATCGAATATTCTAGATCTTTTTTAAGTCAATATTATTAGCGAACATACATTTTGCAGAATACTTCTCAGTATGTATTTAATTTGTTCCTTCGGAATGCCTTCTACAGAGACCATCAGTTTCAATCTTACAATAATAACTCTGTAATTTAGAAAATAACTGTAACAATGGAAGAGAATGGAGAAAAGTAAAAAGAGAACAATTAGTAAATAAATAACTAGCATTATCAATAAGATATAAAACAGATAAGAAACTTATGATGTCAGTGACGAAGCTATTTCGATTAATTAATATCAATAAACCAGAAATTTAAATATGTATGTGTTAGCTGATAGCTAAAATTTGAGATTTGAAATTCACATCTAAGCTACTAAGTTAATAACCTAAGCCCATATTAAACAATTGATATGATGCAATTTATTTTGCGAATGAATTGTCTTAATATATTGGATGACCCTTAGCCTTCCATGATATTCGAAATAGCAATTTGAAATTCCAAATAAACATGGAGAAAGAAAAATCACTTTTGTTTTACTGCCATAGAATGCTTTGCATTTGAGCAATTTTCACGTATCACCCGTGTAATTACCATTCTGTAATCTTCGTTTATGGGTTGTTGTTCCAATGGTGCAACACCTGACATGCTGGGTCTATCATTTAATAATTCGAATGCCATTTCAACTGTCTCTTCTACATTTCCATTTGCTTCCCATAGCAAAAATCGAATTCGCTCGATAGATAAGCATGGAAACATATCCTAATAATAGTAATTGATAACATCATTCATTTTATATTGTTAGATTCTATTAAAACACTTAAGCATTTAGCCATCTTTCTAACTTATTAGTTCAAAAAAAGTTAAAAAGGATAATTCATTGATTATTAGGATAATAACACTGTTTCTTCTCTTTCAGATTCCCAAGATATTTATTGGTGGCTTTAATTAGTTGTAAAAGTTATAGAAATTTAATTATATAACGCAAGAAATATTAGTATATAACAGTAGTAACCATACTTAATTTATTTAAAATCAAATGCTGAAATAACAGATAGAAATTTAGGTCAAAACAGTAACGTTTGACAATGCTAACATATCATAATTAGTCTTTAACTGTAGCATTAGAACGGAATGCTAACGAAAAATAAGAATGTCACAGTTGGTTATCATTCTTTATAATTATCATTGATCATCAATTAGAACTTACACGTATTTGCGAAATTTTCCATTCTGTGGAAAACATTTTCCACTCGTACAGCTTAGCAACACAACCACCAATTTAAATGATTCATTCACTAATTCAGACTCAAATATGCTAATTTTCAAAATATGCATTGACTGTAATTATTCAAATTCGATTGTCGATTATTTAAGAATTGACTGACGACTGTTTGAATTAATAAAAATAAATTTAGATTGCTGAGACTGTTTGTTTTATATCATATTACTTGACACACATTAAAGTTTGAACATAAAACTGCACATCATCCTTTAACATCATTTATCATTAATCAGGTATTAAAATCACTTATAAACAATGATATAGTTTGTAAGTGACCCCTCTTTCTTGATCCGGCTGGAGAGAAGTACAAAGTACTAGACATAAAGGTTATTTAAAAGACCTCATTTATGCACTGTTTCCCAATGGGCAAAAAGAACCGGCAACAGTGGCAACACAGTGGATTAATTTGCCATCCTGATAACAACAAGCTCTAAAACTATTTAGAATTCACAAAACTTAACAAATATAATCTAGAAATAAAACAACGCCACATGATTATCAGTGATAATCAACGGTTAATGCCGAAAAAGCTGCAGCGATTTTAAATGTCGAAATAAATTTGTATTAAATCTATAAGATAAAAATTTGTGGAATAAGAAACGACGACTGTTTCATTTAATTATTAAACTCTTCCGAACTGTACCTAATATTCTATGTGGATTGTCGGTAAGTTCTGAAGAAGCTAAAGAAGTTCTTATGTTTGGTCACCAATCAACTCATTTACAAAAATGTACTGTTGTATTGTCAATGTCCACCACATCAGGAGTTAAACCCATCATCCGGGACCAGCTCACAGGGACAGCAATTTTCTGTTCAGTTTGTCTCAATACTTTCTCTACATTCCACCAATCTTTATTCAACAACATCCTGCAGCCAGCCGAAACAAATTCCTCCTAAGATTAAAATATCTGCGACGCAGTTTGTTACCTAAATGATCTTTCTAATGTCAATCAATAAAGGCTTATTTCAATTGTTCGTTTACGTCAATCGATCTACAATAAAGAACTTTATAGCCGATAAAAGAAAAAAAAATTAAAATTTTGACAATTGGAATAATAAAAAAAATTATTCAAGAAGCTTTTATAAAAGCCTCCTTTTCATAAATCTAAATGTTAAAAACTGAATATAGAATTCGGCCAATGGAAAATGAATCAAAAAGGAGTTTTCTAAACTTAAGCAGAACATAATTTGTATTTCTGCGCTTTACATAAAGAAATTTTGGTGCAAGAAACAAATAATTTTTTAATGATAAATATAATATCAGATATTCGTTTTTTTTTTTTTTTTTTTTTAAATGGCAGAAAATAGGTGAAGAGCAAATGAATATACGTCAATACAAGGCGCAAAAAATAATTTGCAAAGCATTGAACAACTAAAATGAAAAACTGGATATATTAAACACCAGGGACTTTTTTTCAGCGGCCGAACTGCAAAAAAACTTCATTCCCTTACTCTCTTATTTCAAGTTTTTGAATACCTCAACTACAAATTTAACTAGATATGTATAGAATTACCATGTCTAATATATAATCATAATACTCACAAACAATCCAAACTATCTGCAGAAAGCTCAGGATATTATATATATGAGAGAATATTATTCTTAATATTATTATTATCCAATACCGGAGTAATCTAAGCAGGAAGTTATACCTTATCGGAAAATTTTTTGCAATAAATGAGCAAGCAAACCGACAATATCACCAAGCTACTTACACTTTAAAACTTTCGGCTACTAGAGATAACTAAATTTACAAGGAGATTGATAAACAGAAGCATGCAACCACAATGTAATGTATTTTAAAGCAAAGATAATTACACTGAATACAAACACCTGGAAATTTTCTAAAAATTCTCAGCAAGGATTACATTTAGATAACATAAAATCCATCTTTTTTGACACGATAACAATTTGAATAAGGAATAGACAAATTATGAAAACGTAATCTAAACAAAGTTATACTGAACAGGATAAAAAAATAAAACTGATGGTGAAAGTTTGAATAAATTAATAGCACATTATTGATGTTTCATCAATAACTATTTACATTTCGAAATTTGTCAAATAGATAATGGAGTTATACTATTTTATATTCAATACCTTTCTCTCAAACAGTAACACTTCTAAATCCACATCTGGACTTCTCACTAAATCATCATAGTGAATATAAGCTTTTCGGAAGAACTTCCCTGGATTTTGTATGATCTATGACAACACACAAAAAAAATTCATTTATCAACTCTGGACGATTCTTTGATACCAACCAGCAACATCCACTCTCGCAGTTTCATAATGTATTACCCACTCATGCTGCTGAAATAATATTCTGCAAAAGCACGAAGTGACTAAAAACTGTGCATTACTTCCCAGTTTGAAAATCTGGTTGAATAGAATGCAACAACTGAGCGAATAAATTAGCAGCTCATTTTATCAAAAAGATCACATTTCAGTCTCAATTTTCCAAATCACATTTGAGTTTGTCTCTGCTTGGATAAAAAACTTGCACTGTAATAAAAAATATCTCCCTCATGCTTTGAAAACAACGTCCTGCAAATTTACGAAGTAACTTATCCTAACAAGTTTGCGCACGCCGCATATTTGCATGAATCTACATCATCCTAATAGTCTTAAAATTATTTGATGAAAACTACATTCTCTTCTATTATCGTTATCTGAGAACTGATATTAAATGAATAAACAGATAAGTGCATTAAAAGTGAAAAAGATCTTGAGAAAACATACTAAAAGTTCCTTGTACTTTGGTCGAAACTGATAATTCTTTGTAAGGCAAAGACGCAGAAAATCACAGAACATAGGAGAAAATCCTTCTTCAGGATTGAGCACCGGTGCTGGATCAGAAACAATTCGTGAAAGTACTTCAAATTCACTGTTACAACCACGATATGGATATTCACCTTTGGCCAATTCAACCAATGAAATTCCAATACTCCAAACGTCAGCCCGAACATCATATTCGTCTTGAGCTTCCAAGCGTTCCGGCTACGATCAAAATAAATATAAGATTGAAAGAAAATAAGATTTAATCAGTGGGAATGATTTCTAACAATGGGTAGCATTATAGGCATGGCACATCACGGGATAGAAATGACCCTTGGTTTAATGAAATTTAAAATCATTTTATTTCTACCGAATAATCCTTCAGCATAAAAGTTTTCAATAACTTACCGACATATAAGCAGAACAACCGGCAGTACGTGTTCGAGCCATTGAATCAACTAAACGACCGGCAATACCAAAATCACATAATTTCACTGTCCCATTTAAATCAAGCAAAATATTCGATGGTTTTACATCACGATGAATAATATTCTACAAGCAAATTTTAAAATGATAGCGTTTTTTGAGTTTCTTGAAAGACAGCTAACGGCTTATTCTTTAATAATTGATCATCTCCATTTAGCTACGACTAGGAACAATATGAAGTGCAAGTCAAACAAAGAGCAAAAATGAAGCAGTTTAATAGGCAAATCGTTTACTTTCTAAAAAAAAAAAAGTCCTGCTAGATTTTGTACTGTGCAAGCAATAAAAATACTATAATTCTTTCGTTTCCAAAATATGTAATCTGTTAAAAATCATAATGCATCTTACTTCAGCAGCACTAAGACTTCATCGTATTCATTATGAGAGAACCTCAGTCATTAGCATATTTCATTACGACAGTACAGAATTTTCTCCTCACTTCTCATTCTGCATATTATTCTTTTTCAGTTAACAATATGCAGAAAAATTGCAAAGAAAAATAAGCCAACATAATTACCACCTGAGTAACTTTTAAATAATCCAGAGCTTTTATAATTGAAACGGCCATTTTGCCAAGGATATCTTCTGGAAAACCACCCTGCACGCGTTTGGAAAGTTTATCCAGACATGTTGCCATTAATTCCATGCAAATCAGTACTTCAAACTAAAACGCTCAAATTTCACTTAAAAATCATCTTACTCGTTCAAATATCAGAGAATTAAGGCTTGGGTCCTGAGAAAAATAACAAAATGTCCGGTTGAAATGTCATTGGATAATATCCAATCCTCAAATTACTATTCCATTTAATGTATAATCATCCCCCACGTTAACAATGCATTGCAATCCGACAAGCAAGAAAACTTCGTAAAACTGATGAAATCTTAAAAAAATTTTTTTCAAGTACAAATTTCTCAGGTTATTACTATCCAGAATATAAAAAAAAAAAAAAAAAAAAAAAAAAAAAACAAAAAACAAAGCTTACATCAGTAATAAAGCACCCGTAACATCGTACAATATGCGGGCAATCATGTGAACGAAGTACCACTTCTAAATCCATCAGAACACGCTTGTTCTCTTCCGCTACTGATGTCATAACCATTTGCTTAAATTATTAAAACAGATATAAATGATAATAAGATATTATAATAAGATAAAGTTATACAAAACAATAAACTGAGTAAATCATAGAATTCACAGTTTTTTCCTCAAAAACGCTTATTAAAAAAGTTGCAACAACTACGATTTTTTAAAGAATTTCTTGAGGAATTTTCGAGAAATTAACGGACCACAGAAGTAATCTAACCTTAACAGCCATAATCGTTCCCGTTTGTTCGAATCGGGCTTTATAAACAACACCACAAGTACCGGAACCAAGTTCTCCTATTCTTTTCAGACTTTCTTTTGTTGTTTCATACATAGTTTTCATAATAGTTATCCGACCCGACAATCTTTTAATTTCTGCTAAACGTTTAGTCAACTGAAAACAATTTTATTATGTGAAAATGAACGCAATAAATGCCGAATCGAAGCAAATGTTTATTCAGTCATCTTTATTCCCAACTTTAATTTTTTCAAGGCATATTAATTCGCTTCAACTACATTGGTTCTAACTTTTCACCAAATATGTTTCTGAAAGGAATCCAAAAGCAACTACCGCTTCTCTTCTCATTAAAAGAAGTTAAAAATTAGATGACATACCGCATCATCAGCAGTACTGACAGGTGAAGATTGAGAAATAGTTGTTGGTAGTTCTGGAAGATTTCGACGAGGTGCTCCATCAACTACAAGAAACATATTTAAACTTTGGGATAATAAAAACTGCTTACATGGTGCTTACAAAACTAGTTACAAACCGCTTACGTAAAGAATTATTTTTGTATAACGAATTATTGCTGGCTGGTGTATCACACCTAGATAAAGAATCGAGATGACCACAGAGTTAAATTATTTTGGTTATTTTGAGTAACGTATAGAGTTAAACCATAACAATATGTAAAGTAAGGAATAAATATTGCAAAGACTACAATACAGTTATCGCTTCAGTTACCTCTTCTTTAACATCCTTTTTCTTGTTTCAACATGGATAAAAATTTAAACTTACTATCTACAAGAAAAATGAATTCGAATAATTTTTTTTATACACACTATAAATAAGTTCCTTTTATAATCGTTTATTTTACCCATAATTCGTCGTGGAAGTGGATTGGTCTGCGGTGGAAATGAGCAGCTTGGATTCGAGAAAGGTCGTGAAACTTGTACCACTTGTGGCTCTACGCTGGATGATCTACGCGAGGCAAAAACATGTCTCGTAAGAGGAGCAAATCTTACCTGCTTCCATCGCCGTATTCGACATTCAAATTCTACAATATTTAGAAGTCTATATTTAGATTGTATGGTCTAGGTAAGATTTAGGTAAAATTAACTTTCAGGGAAGGGAGAGACTGTGTCACGACATTATACGAATGACGTGAAATCTTAAGTGATCACTTTAGTGTAATTTCTAAGCCAAGTAGAAAGGTTAACATTTCAGGAAAAGTGCTAGGTTTATAACAGGAATTATAGAAAAGAATGATAAAATCATCGGGATATTTTATAATATTTGAATCAGCAACTGAAATGAAAGAAGATGTAATCAGAAAAGATTAAAAATATTTTTGAAACAATATGCCTCATCGGAGAGGAAGAGAAAGGCGAAAAACTCGAGGTGGAAAACGGAAGTTGATGAGGCAGTGATAAGAACTTGCAAATTGTACATTGCAATCCGCTAAAACAATTGATAAGAAGAGAGAGTTAATACTGAGGAGGTTTTCCGGAGTTAATACTGAGGAGGTTAATGCTCAAATAGCGAAGCACCGGAAAATGTCGGTTGTTGGATGTATTTTGCGCTCGCTGTATCTGCCAGTGGGCAACATTTAGAAGCGCTGAAGTCGTAGCCAGGCGGGGTGATGCGTATTGCATTTGGGTGCTAACTTTTCAAAATCAATTTACAGGTTTGGATCTAGTAAAATTTAATGAGCAATATTTGATACTTTATTTCTCAATAAGTCTTCTCAATAAGGAATTTTTGTCTTCGATGATGAGAGCAAAAACATTTTATGCATTTCGGGAAATTAAACTATAAGAAAGATATTCCGAAAAGTGAAACTACCAGTGAAATGTTTTGAAGCATCTAAGAAAACTAATGAACAATGTTCATCTTTTTTCTCATTTCTTTTCTTTTTTTTGCGAATTTATAACTTGTTTTTTTTTTCTTTTTAATCAAATAAAAAGTTTGAAGGGAAAGATTTACTTGTCTTTAAAGTAGTATAAATAATAATATGCTTGGTAAAGTAGTATTAAATAATGATAATAATCAGGAATATTAAATTTAAGATGGTCAGTTTTTCGTAATCAATCGTTTCAAAAAGAAAGCTGCCTAACCTCGTATCCGTTGATGTAATGACATTGTTGGCTCCATAGAAGACGATAATCAGATAATTGATGATGAAACTTTCCAATAGGTTCCTTTATTTTTTCGTTTCCTTTTGAATTCGATAACAAAAATTTGGGAAATCGAAATGTTTCAGATTTATACTTCGTAAATAATAATATTTCGTTATTTCTTCTTTCGTTTCTATGATTGTTTATTTTCGCCATTTATCGAAAAAAAAAAAAAAAAAAAAAATGGATGAGAATGGAAATATGCGCTTTTTTCTCCAACTTGGTCGTTTTTTCTTTTTCTTTCCTTTTTTATTTCTATTTTTTGATGGAAGGAAAAGAACGATTTAAATGAGCAAACAACTGGTAGAATAGCTCAATTGATGAGTAGTATGAGGAGGAAAATGAGTCGGAGGAATCGGATAAGAGTGGAATACGATGAGAATATTATCGTCGTCTTCGTCGTCACTCTTCGGTCCATCTCGTGCCATCCGTTCCGGCATAGTAAATCAGCAGTTGGCCATGGATCCTGAGCTACTCACTCCTCCGCCGCCGCTGGTATTGCAATTGTTGGAAGAAGGATTGCTTAATCGCTTATCAAATCTATAATTGCTATAGAAATACGGCTAATAGACCAGGACGGATGGAAAGAAGAAAAGGAAAAACATTTTTCCTCCAATATCAGCTAATGCTTGTGCTGCGCTCATTACTATCGACCCATACATAGCCTTAGCCTACACATATATACACACACATATACATGCACACATACACATACACAAACGTACTTGTAAATATGCATTTTGCTTTAATCATAGCTAGAAGGGTTAGTAATAGTAGTAGGTGGTAAGACTTTTGCTATTGCTTCAGCAACCCATGGTCATTCCATTTGCTGTGACCTGACAATGCGTAATGAAGACACAAAGGAATGAACTTTAGTTGAAGAATGTTACAGACTTCAGTAATTAAATTTGTAAATCTATCAAGGAATTAGCTTATTGTGAATGGGCATTTTCGGATTTTAATTTACAATAATTGATTTCACATATATCTTAAAACAAGAAAATTAGTATGAAGAAAAAAGGAAAGGTCTAGTACTAATGCATCTAGCAACGTTGATATTAGGACTATTTCGTGAAACCATTTGATTTTGAATCGATTTGTGTCAGCAATCCGTATATAAATTTGGATCATACAAACACTTTAAGTCTCTTAGCAATTTTACTAACAATAATTAATTTTTTAAAGATTTTATTCATGAAGGAAAAAAGAATGAAATTCAAAATTTTGTTATACCTAATAATAGGCTATTGGGTTGGTTACACATATGTATGGTATTGACTCTGAGCTCATTTCACACTGATTTTGATTTTATGCGAAGGACGCTATATGATTGCATAAGCCGCAAAAGTATTCGAATCCGTTGTCTTTTTCTCCACCGCTTTTAATACATATATAAAGGCTTTTCAAAAATCATTATAATTTTATGAAAAAGATATTTTATTATCATTAAATTGTTGATCTAACTTTATTGTAAACAAATTGAAGATTTTGCATGTTCAGCAATGTCAATATAAATAACGAATTTTATTCATGAGAGAAAAATTAATGCTAATAAGAATATCAGTGCTATGCAGACTTTTCCATCATTCAGTTATTACGGATTTTAATTTATATCACGTGATGAAGGAACTGAACAATTGTAATACTATTAATTCAATCCGATTTACTCAGAAATCTACGTATGCGAAAATGATTGATTATTAATTACTTATTTCATTAATAATTACTTCACTTGTTTCATTCTTTATTTTTTTTTTTTTTTTCAATTATCGTATCGTATTTTAAAATAAAGACAATAACAAAAATATGGCCTCGATTACTGTTTCTTCAAATGTTGAAGCATTTGACTTTTAAAAAGTTATCCAATTTTGTGAAAATTAAAGATGAAATTACTTGATCATTTCATTCAAGTTATAACAATTAAATTGCAGGTTTGGTATTACGTATTATAGTTTGCCATGGAATTTCTTGAAATGAATTTTGCAAGATGAACTTTTTATCTCTAGTACAAACAGATGGTTAAAATTTTAACGAGAAAGCTGAAATTCATAATTTTTATATATGCTTTATGAGTTTCATTTATTTTTAAAAACAGTAACTGCACACAGCACGACTGCACTTAGTTGTGACACTAATAATCATTTTAAATGATTAGAGTCAATCGAAATTTAACACCGATAATATCATCCGAAAAAATGCAAAAAGCGACAAAGGTTTTTGAGATTTTTTATTTTCCAAGCTTTTGAATATCGAACTCTTTTTCTTTCATTTAGTGACAAAAACGTTTCCATTTAATGCATTTTATATGACTGTGACTGGCATTAAAAATTTGATTGATAATTTTCCTAAGATATCAATTTACTCAATGTTCAAATGGCAAGTATCCATCGAAAAGGTCATGACAATTTTATCAGTGAACTTTTCCCAAATATGCCAAGCTTGTCTGTGTGTATGGGAAATTGTATAGTTCGTGTAATTGTGGAATTGTATAATTATAATATAATTCCCAACACATTGTTCAGAAATTTTGGAAAATTTCCGAAACTGAAATTCCTAAATGAGTTTTTGCTTGGGCAGATAGCTGGAAAGTAACGAGTCTAGGGAAGGCAATATTTCCATTAGCTAACTATATTTCATTATAATATTACCTTGAAATATTCTACTGAATTAATAAGTAAATCTTTACAAAAGCTCATTGCTGGAATTGATATCACCTTACAGTTTCATCAGTTTTTTGAAGCAACTTTTATCTCGCGAATGAGACAATGAACAATCACTAGCTTAAACCTAACTTATTCAATTAGGATGTCGTCTCATCTCTAATAAGTTTGCTTTCACAGTGCATCGTCGAGATACATAGTGAGTTAAACAAGCTTTGACAATCAAGAAAACTGAGAAGTATGCAAATCTACTTTCCTTCAATTACCAGTGTTATTTCCCTTTTATCGATAGAATGATGAGAAATGAAAACCTTTGCTTCTTATTCTAAATTTTTGCTGTAAAAGGTCAGATCGAAAAAGTTCAAATTTTTATAAAATATCTTACATAGCCAAATCTAATGTATGCTTCATTTGTAATTATTATGATGAATCTGAAAGAAATGTCATCATTTTGACGAGAATAGAACAAATATATTATACTTTTGTTCACTTTATCTCGCTTTTTTGTTGTCGTCGTTGCTGATGGCCATATCTTCATGATATAGCATTTTGTCGTAAGTAGTAATTCCGTTCAATTCATTAGCAAAAAAAAAATACCCAATCCACCAAGTAATTCCTTAATAATTTTCCAAGAAGTTTCGTTCCATTGCACATATTTTAGAAATACAAAAAGATAATTATAAGCGTTGATCTTTTCCTTCTGCAAAGTTTTATTGAGATACTCGATAGAAATATCACTATAAATTCAATGGAATTACAAAAATATCAATCTCACGCACACTTATTTATCATCGAATTATTACGAATTCAAATTTATGATACCATATGTACGGTGATAAAAAACACTGTAATACTATTGTCAACTCATTTAAATTGTAGCAACATCAAAAATAAATTTTAAAAAAGTAAAATTTTTTATGGCTGACACCGGAAAAAAAATTCAGGACAGAAATTTTCTGTAATTGAACATTTGGCCCCTGTCCTGAGTAGGAGCTTTGAATGTAGTATGATTGTCTATACATTACTTTCAGAACCTCATAGAACACTCGGATTGATCCATCACTTATTCTAGATATGTCGAAGTTTCTGTTGGAGACTGCTGCATGAAGACAAAAAAGGTCGCAAGGTGGCTGAATAACATTTATTTGGTGAGCAGTGCTCTCTACTTCGTTGTTGAGAAAATGGAATTGATTTTATAATATGTCGAAACATGTGGTATGATAGAAATTTGTAAACTAAAGACATTTGAATATTTCTAAGATTGTTTCATTTAAAATTGTGTAAGAATAATTACCAAATTCTCATCTTCCAAGTTCTAACTAATCTTATATGCATAAACAGAATATTATAAAAAAGTGTCTGATCACTGATCAATTCAGTCATTTGTAAAGGTCCCCTGCTGCAATAAAAAATGAAATCATTATCGAAGAACAGTCTACAGCCCCTCAGTACTCCCTCTTTTCTCTCTCTATCTCTCTCTCTATCTCTCTCTCTCTCTCTCTCTCTATATATATATATATATATATGATCAATCTGTGCTCTGCCATAACTTATCAAGGAAAATAACAGAAAATGGGAATTCATTGGAGAGAATCCAGAGCAGACGAGCAACAAAATTATTACTGAAAGCAGATTACCTGTTTGGGTACTGTATAAAGTGCATCAGCAAAAGGGGGCCAAGAACTATGGTCGATCAACTAACTCCGACAGTTCCTAGAAAAATTAATCACATGAAACGATGTGACTAGGAGTTAAACTTTTAGTAACAGGAAAGGAAGAAATGCAGAATCTAAATCAGACACAAATCAACAGTTCTGGGAAACAAAGGGGAAGAACCATAGTTTTAGTTTCAACAAAACCTTAGAAATCAAATAAAATAACGGAAAAAATCAAAAAAAAAGTCCAAACCGACATTTAGTCAGGAAAAGACCTTATTCATTTTGTAGTAAGGTCATTAACAAACGAAAGGAAAAAAAGGTGCAAACAGTAACGAATGGAAGAGTAGCTAATTAAAAACGATCAAAAGGTAAGAATTTTACTTCTGTATAATGAAATCAGAGTCATAGATGATCCTGAAATTTAAACAAAATCTATTTGGTATGATATGATATTATCACTGATGTTAATGAACTTGGCCAATCGACTAAACTTTCAAGGAAGAGAAAATGAAGAATTAAGTATCGCCTCATTTGGTAACAGGGTGCTTAAAAAATGCTATAAGATGAAAGCAAAGATCAATGTAAAAATCAGAAATAAGGAGATCATCGATTGAGAAGCTAACTACATAGAATACTTAACAGATAAATTGCAAATAACAACGACCGGAATGTGAACTCTACAATGGAAAAGTAAGAATTAGATGCAGTAAAAGACTACTGGACGCAATTCGATTTTCTCATCAGCGTCAAAAACTTCATATTTATCAATCTGGACAAAATGTAAGAATTAAAATTAAGATTTCATTTGCTCCGAATAAAAGCTAAGGCCAGTATTAGATATATAAATGCTTGCAACAAGAGTGTGATATCAAGTGGGACAGCTGCAAAGCATTAGTTTAATCAGTCAAGTTAGGACTTATGAGTGCCCAGGGCCGACCAAAGAGAGTGATGACGAGTAAGCTCTCCAGCAATTTAAGAGAAATATAGCGAAGCAAAACTGGAAAGAATCAAATATCAAATTCACTATGGACACTGTTTCGATCGTTTTAAAAAAATTGTCAAAAGTCTCCAAAAATATTTCAGCAATAAAAAGAAGTTGAATGAAGTCCTATGTCATAGATCTATAATGCTTTCTGATTTAACAGAAATGTTACTACACTTTCGAATAATGAAAAATGTAACGAGACTAGAGAAGGCGTTTCTGGAATTGGAACTGCATCATTCTCATAGGAATTGTATCAGTCTATTCTGGTTAAACAATATTCAGAAGAGAACTTCAACGGTTTAGAAGAATTCCTTTTGAAACAATTTCAGGTTTTTTTTACTACGTTTGTACTATCGGTTTCACTAATCATTACGTAGAAATAAATGGAATCTAGAAAAACGCTGGGAATCACAAGAAATATCTGGAGAATTTATATTGTCAACAAAGAAAATATATTGTCAAAACCGAGAACAAAGTAATGAAAAGATATAATCTATTTACATGATTTACTACAAGAGTAGTTCTTCTGGAAATCATATCACACGTGGTATCGAGAATGAATTTTGAGCGATAATGCAAGCCAGTTTTTTTCTTGGAGTAACACACCAATATAAATGAATTTCTAGAAGAAAAAGGAATGGCTGAGGCTTTGTGGAGTAGAGGATTTCGTGACAGACTGATAAATTGATAACACTTCAAATGAAAGTGAATGTGAGCGACGCTTAACAGAAGTAAACCCTTAAATAATCATTTGTTAAGCTTGATATTTCTCTGATCCATTATCCCTTGACAGTGGTGCACTATTACAATCGTTCCATTCATTCCCATCTTTTGCTAACATTTAGATTTAGGCTTACGGAAAATCATTCCTTTCTGTACAAACAAAATGTGGAAACAATCACTTGATTTTTATAACAGTTAAATTAGAGATTTATTAATACATATCATCACAGGATTTCATAAAATTTTTCGAAATGAATTTTGCAAGATAATATTTACTGGTATCTTCGAGCACAAATGGTCGGCCATAATCCTATAAAATTTCATAACAAAATTATCCATACTAAAGTCATAAAATGATTTTCATTTACTTTCATGAACGAACTATAGCTATGTACAACTAGTGAGAGCAATTATGCATTAATAATGTTGCAGTAATGATTGCAATCAATGAAAGTTAGTATTTTTTCAAAAAAAAAAAAAAAAAAAAAAAAAAAAAAAAAAAAAAAAAGGAAAAACAGTGGAAAACTGCCATTGGTATCACGACAAAGAATTTCGGAGAAAATTTCCAGAAAAAAATTTCCAATTTTTTCAGCTTCAGAATATCAACCATCTGATAATTTTCACTTAATATTTTATGTAATCAGTAGTTGCAATTAATAATTTAATTGATAACTTACATATGCTCCATTCTCTAACATGAATTTGACCAGTCTGCTACCCAAGGATGATTGGAAAAGATTTGAATAATTAATAAGTGATTGTCTTGCTACTGCACCATTATCAATCTGTAATTCAAAAATTGCTTTCTTTTGATACAATAAAAAAGCCATCTACTATATTAATTGACTCCCAAATATTTTTAACTTTTTTTTTTGAAACCTCGACTGTTGAATAGCTCCGAAATAGTCACAATCAAAGATTTCGACTTACTTCATGAATGAGACTTTGCTGTGGCTCACAAATGGAATGCCGCTTCTTTAGAGAGGTCAATAATTCCATTAACTAAACATATTTCATTATCTTGAAATATTTTATTGAATTAATAGTCTAAATGATCATTTGTAATAGTTGCAGTGAATCTAACAGCAACTCATCATTTTAGCAAAAATTTCTTGATGAGATCAAAGATTTATATTTGCACTATCTCGCTGGAATTGTTTACTTTCTTTTCTTTTGTTATTACTGTCGGCTGCATCTTCATGTCCTGTCCACAACATAGCAAACTGGAAGCCCGATGGGTTGTGGACTGTATCTCCATGTCCTGTTCACTAAACGTTCTGCTACAAACCGGACCGGCAGTAATTGCGTTCAATTCATTTGCAAGAAAAATTAAGTGATAAATACTGAATCCACCAAATAATTCCATAATAATTTTCCAGGTGTACATCGTTCTATTTTATATATGTTTTAGAATGCTTACAAAAAGAGTTATAAGCGTTGATCTTTTCCTTCTGCAAAGTTTTATTGAGATACTCGATGGAAATACCACTATAAATTCAATAGAATTACAAGAATATCAATCTCACGCACACTTATTTATCATCGAATTGTTACAAATTTAAATACTATTGTTAACTTATGTATAGAATAAATGAATTATGTTTGGTGTTCCACATGTTTTAATCATTTTCTTCCCAGTTATCATTTTTTGATGTAGCGACAACATCGTAAATTTTCTCATAAATGCATCAAAATCATGGAACAATTCTTTCAATGTAAGTTAAGGTTAAAAAAAGCATTAAAAAAATAGTAAATGAAAATGTCACAACACTTAAAAGAAAAACTCACAGTGCTTTATAAACGCTTCAAAGATTATTGATTTCAGTTTTTCATAAATACATTATTGATGTCAAAATTAAGCAGCTTAGTTTGAAAAAAAATGTATATGTATAAATAATCCGCTTTTTTGGAAAAACTTTTTGTTCAACATTTGATTGATTTTTATCCAAATGAATTTTACACGTTGTAATTTATATTAAATGCTACTTAAAATGAAGAAAGACAGTAATCAAGTGTCTGTATAAATTCAGCTATTTCTATAAGTTACATTTCAGAGATTTGAATGGAAATATTGCTTGCTTTTTGTTGAATTATAAATGTGTAATTCAGTAACTTTTCAGACACACTGTTGTTATAATCTCGATAAGTAGATTAAAAATAAGCTATGAATAACACTTTTTTTTTCAAAGCAGAACTGAAATTCGAGTCGAATGTAAAGTTATCAATACCTATATTTAGCAAAATTTTTGTATCATTACCAGTATAAAAATTTATGCTTATAAAAGACTTATATAACAAACTTGATTAGCCTTAATAAATTTATAATTCAATACCGTACAGTTTAAAAAACATGTGATGTGACGATGATTGCGGTAAATATGATTATCGCCTAAGTTATTGGAACAGTAGTAAAATTTATCTCCATTAATATACAACACCTTGTTTTTTCTTTTTTCTTTGAAAATTTGTACTTAATTAGCTTTTTTTTATTGATAAGTTTTGACTTTAATGTAAAAAAATTTAATCATCGTTTTTAAAGTAATAAACAAGCATTGCAGAAATTTTGTTGCAGATTTGTTACGATAATAGCAAATTTCTTTTATTAAAAAATGCCAAAAAAAAATTCTGCCGAAAATTAAATTCAGAACATTTTTTTTATTTTTGTTCTTTCTTTACTCTTTTTTTTAAAGTAATAATATTTTGAACGTAAAAGTTTTCGACAACTTATTGACATATAAGCGGAATAACTAGACGGTTTATGTTAAAGCCTCGGAATCAGTTAACGCTCAGCAATACCAAAATTGCATAATTTAACTATTCGATTCAAATTGAGCTAAATATTCAATGGTTCTACACTAAGATGAATATTCTGCAAGTAAATTTTAAAATTTCAATATCACTTCTTGAGAGACAATAAACTGCCTATCCTTGAGATAATTATTCACCTTCATTTAGCTAGCCTAAGCCAGTCATAGAAAACAACCACACTGCATTAGTTCAACAACGAAAATGAATGAGAAGCATCGTTTGCTCCTTACAATGCATTCGTCTAAAGCCGCAAATAAAATTAAATTTATAATCCGAAACTCAGTTATTATTATTATTTGTTATGTTGATCGACGGTAAATTAGTATTATTAATCAATAAATGCACATTCTCTCTACTTTAAAAGTCAGCAAATGTGCATCTCACATTGTAATTCTTATACAAATATACATTCACGCTGTCTGAAAAAATCAACGGAATATACATTTGCGCATTTCTAGTTCACCACAATGCACATTTGTTTGTTTTAAAAACCAAAAAAATTTGTGCTTGCATTTGACACAAAGTACGTTTATACTGTTCAGAAAGCGACAGATACAAATTTTCGCTATCTGAAAAGTCAACAATCATGTATTTATTCTTAATTACTATTATTTTTTTTTTTTTTTTAATAAAAAAGTGCAAAATTTAAGTCATTTTAAACTGACACAATAATCAAACAAAATTTTTTGAAACATATGAAGTCAAAGCGATTATTTAAATAAATTTTCATTTTGAAGCTTTATTATTATTTTGATGTCAAAATTTTTATAAGATCTATTGCTTAAACTACAAAAGTGATGTTAGTTGCAAAATTGAAGTCTTTTAAATCATTTATCATAAGAGAAATGGTTTAAAAACTACATACTAACGGAGAATTTTAAATCTAACGTTGACTAGCATTTCGATGTTAGCTTTTCCTTAAATTACTGAAAGAGTGTTACCTGTCACATAATTAGAATATACATTTAGCAATAAGTCATCGTGAATCACTTGATTTAAAAAACTTTTTTTTAGAAGTTTGTAAAAATATCGCTAAAAGTCCAAGTTTCTTTCAGAGATACGGGAGATTCATACGAGATTACATGCTGTGGCACCTTGAGAGAGAATTCGCTGATAATCCTTCAACTGATATCATTTATTCATAGCATAGAATGTCTGTTACGCATTGAAACAATGCAAAAAAGTTCCAAACATTTCAATTAAATCTTTTAGTGATGAACTTAAAAGACTGATAAACTTGAAGTTTAGTTGTGAATGTGAAAACACAATTTCGAATTCAGTACAAATTTTTTTTTACTGATGTAGAAATTGGCAACAATAAGTGGTAAATAAAAATTCTAACCTAAAAAAAATCTAATCATATTTCTCTAGAAATATCTTTTAGCTTGTATTTTCTCATGAAGAAAAGAATAAGTGCATCATTGCACTATCTCTTGCCTTATGATTAAAAATGAACAAATTCAAAATGAAGCTTTATTGCTTAGTCATTGCAGGAATTAACAATGAATAATAAGAATTTAAAAAAAAATACATTAAAAATAAAAAAAAAAAAAAAAAAAAACAAATTAGCAGACAGAAAGATATGTAAATGGTATTGATAAGCAGGGAAAGAGGAAAGAAATACATTAAAGGAATACATAATCAAGGTAAGATCTTTTATTCTTCAAATAATTCTTACGGTTGTACAAATTGCAATCAATTAAAGTATCCCATTTGATAGTCCATGTACGATCACATGCCGCATAATATGGCCATACTAATTCATTAATTTCATTTAGGAACCTCCTAAAATTTGAAATTTAAACATTAGTGTAGTTAAATCAAATTATGAAGTAAACTGTCAACATCAGCACTTTTAATTTTGAAATTTGATATAATCAAATATGTTTTTTAATTATGACATCAATGAATGAAATAAAACGCTGAAAGCATCAAATAAATACCTTCATAGTTTCTGAGTTTTAAAAAATTTCCCATTTTCTAGAGTTATAAATCAGATAAACATTCAAAACTTTTAAACTCAATTTGTTGTGTATTTTTCTTGTTTTTATTCTTTTCATGTTATTTTTGTAAAATATTTGAGTTTTTTTTTTATTTTTTAAATAGAAATTTTAAATTTGGTTTTTGAACTGGATTGGTACCTAAGTAATCGAAATTTAATAATTTGGGAGTAAGGTTTTGTTTAAACCGAAAAAATATTGAGTGACTTTGGATTTTTCATTGGAACATGCGTATTGTAGAGCCCTCTTTTTCGGTAAATTTTGTTGGTACATGTATGGTTGTTTAGTTATTATTATTATTTTTTGTAATGCTATTATGTTTTATTATTAAAAACATAAAATATATATATATATTTTGCTTGTAAATTTATTATTGTGTGTTACTATTATTAGTGATTTTTATTTATTTTTTTGAAATTAGAAAAGAAAGTAATTTTTTTATGTATATTAATGAATTTAATAAATAAAGTGGTGAAAACCATCCGTCAATAGCTTACAGGGACGTAAGTTGTGCATGAGAGGCAAAGTTACCTGTCTCTATGTTTTAAAAAGTATTAGTTTTATGATAGAATGAAGAACTGTAAATATGCAAGCACAGTATCCATTAATGCTAAATGATAGCAAATATTAGAGTAAAAAAAAAAAAAAAAAAACTTAGAAGTTAACAAAAAAGTGTTCTGAATTACCAGTCTGTCTTATTCCCAGGTATGCAAGCATAACTTTGTGGTGATGCATCTTTGTGTTGCAACAACACATAATCATAATATAGTGTATGACTAGGATTCTGAAGATCACTTTCATAGTCCATTCTAACTTTTGTTGAAATAGCCTGGAAAAAAATAATCGTTTTTACGGCATTTCAAATCAATCTTTATTACAACGCTAGCTAATTTAGCATTTCTGAGAAAATGACACAATTAGATACAATTGGATAAGCTAATAAAATTTGAATTTATGAGTTCAAAAATCACAGGAATTACCAGAATTTGCTTTCCGGTTAATGTTATTCGTGTTTGCCAAATTCCAGCTTCTTGTCTATTAAGCCCAATTCTAAAAGCGCCATCTTCCCAAATGGGTTTACATGTGTATCTCAGTTCTGATGTACTCAAATGCTCTTTATGATTTGTTTCAATACTTGTTTGGATTGTTTTTTGAGATGATGAAATTGCTACGCAAACCTGAAATTTGCATATAAAGCTGTAAATGGTTATGTACCTTGCCAGATATAAATCTGTTAAATATACATAAATCTTCTCCAATATATATTTTTTTCATAACAATCTAATAATTGAAACTGATGAAAATCTAATAATTTTGATAACAGTTAAAATATTAAAGCTAAAAATATACATGGCTTATTTCGAATGTTATCTGATTGTTACCAAGTCCATGCACAGACGATAATAAGATAGCATTTAGAACAAATAATATTACTGTTAAAAGTAACGATGTTATAAACAACGTCCAGTGAAATCCTTGTGAAAAAATCCTGTGAAAACACAATTTATTTAATGCTCTTATTTATTTATTTTGAAGTAAAATATAAACTGAAATGCTTTTTTAGTTATCTGTTACCAAT